TAACACTTCTCGTTTTTACTCTCGTGTGATCTTGTGTGATGTCATGAGTCGTGGTGCGATTTTCGCTTCCAGCGTCTCGTATGCACGAGTTTGTAGTTGCTTGCAAATCTTCCATACAAACAAAAAAATCATTATTGCCATATACGTGTACTGTTTAATATATTGTAATGTTATTTTCATGTTTGATGATGAGAGAGCTCTCTGTTAAGGTTTCATCTCCCTCCTCCTCATACTTACACTTTCTCTAAATTCTGTTTTGATTTCCGGAGTTGTTTTTTTCTGTTTTCATTTTGAATTTGTAGGTCTGATGATTTGGATCGTATTTACGATTCCAATGGAATAAATTATGATCATGGAATATTAGTGTTTAAGCCTTTTTATTATATCCTTACTCTGTCCTAGACATTGAGTTCTACCTGGAGTCTTCCTCTTGGAAATTTTTTTTTTCTGAAAATATACATGTATGGGTATTTTTATATATTTTTTATATATATTTTGCATATGTATGTATATTTTCCACTAATATTATCAATATATATATATATATATATATATATATATATATATATATATATAACATTAGGCAGCATATAATTTATATACAAAGAATAATCACGAATAGAATCAATCAGCAATATTAATGCTATTATTGGCGATATCCATCGCTAGTCGTATATAATGTATGCATTAAAATACTGTTAATCCATAGAATGATGTGATCCTCATTTATAAAAAAAATTATAATCTATGGATTAACAGTATTTTAATGCATACATTATATACGACTAGCGATGGATATCGCCAATAATAGCATTAATATTGCTGATTGATTCTATTCGTGATTATTTCTTTGTATATATATATATATATTTATATATATATATATATATATATATATATATACATATGAATGATGAAAATCTGAAATTTTAGTGGATTAGAATAATCATCAATAGTAATTCATCAAGTCTAGAAGAATCCTTAACAGAAAGCACTGTACGGCCGTTTCGTCCTATTTGGGACTCATCAGCAGTGGGCATCCACTACCGAGAATCGAACCCGGACCGTTACGATACAACGCAAACATCATACAACTGGTCCTCGATGAAGAAACTCACTAAATTCGATATAGCGAGTAAAATTCCGTGGTGATACTCATCCAAGTATACGAAACCCAACGGCTTGTGCCCAAGGGCCACGTCTTCTTTCCCCAGGCCACTCCCTCCAGAACATTAGAAGATGGATCAAGCAAAGATATAAATGATTAAACTCGATATAGCGCCGCTACTCGCTAAGTTACGTGGTGATACTTCTCTACCTAGGTTCGATGTATATGAATAAAAAATTTTATATATCAAGAACAGATTTTAAAAGAAAAGATGTGTGACAATTGGGAAAAAGGTTTTTGTGACGTACTTCATCCATTAGGATTTCATCAGACTGGGTTTCTTTCCATTGTTGTGACTACACATGCACACGAACGAGAGACGCTGGGAGTTTTAAAATTTCGATGAAGTTAGCTAGTTATGCAAAAAATAGAAAAATGATGGACACAACCATTTTTTGTCCGAGAAAAAAGAAGGCTGATGATGACATTGTACTAATGTCGAAAGTACTCAGAATAAAATGATTATGCATCAACATGGTAATTTGCTTTCTTTTTTTAATAAAGATACTAAGAAACTTGCCTGTAATTATGAGATGATCCTATTAAAAATAAGTAGACAAAGCTTCTCTAAATTATTTAGTGAGACATGTCTTAATGAAAACATGATGCCAAAATTTATGCAATACATTATGAACGCTATATTTAAAAAATATAAAAGTTAATGAAACGAAAAAGTGAATGAAGTGAAAAAACGACGTGAGGTGTTGTCTACCACATCTCACGTCGAGTAGTAGTAGGAGGAAATAAGAATAATTGTTTGTACGGAAAGTAAGGACCTACATGCATCAAATTGTCCTTAAATTAAGTAACGGGAGAAGAATTATTGTTGAACTTTTAAAAGTTAAGCTTAAATATTAATACAATACTTAAATGCAGCGATCGATTTTGAGTTCTTCTGTAGTTTACTGTTGCCTATTGCATCTACTTCTTCCTACCTACTGTGATTAAGGCCCAATCAAAATCCCTCTGCAGGAGTTAGCTTAAATCCTGTCCTATAGGTCGGCTTTTAAGCTAGTATTTTATATATATATATATGTGTGTGTGTATACACACATACACACACACACACACACACATATATATATATATATATATATATTAGCTTAACTTTTATTAGCTTAACTTTTTGTTTATCAATTTAAAAAAAAAGATCGCTTTGCGACGATACAGTACAATAAATCATTTCGGCTTGTATTTTTTATTTAATAAACCGAATGGACCTTATACTTTAGATGATAAAAACAATTTCTATAAATTATATCCATTTTTGTTGAAACTAGTCGAGGAATCTAAATGAAATAATAATAATAAACACGAAAGAATATTAATCTA